AAGACCTTTAAGATCATCCAGTCCAACCGTTAACCTAACACGACCAAGTCCACACTAAACCAGTTAAGGGTGGAGTAGCAACTTCATGTTTCCTGGCTTGGTGGCTGGATTATTTTTAATGAAAGTAAAAACTAGGAATCATTAAGTTTGGAAAGGACCTCCAAGATCACCAGTCCAACCATCAACCCAACACCGCCATGCCCACTAAACCATGTCCCAGAGTGCCACGTCTACCCATTGTTTGAACACCTCCAGGCATGGTAAGGGATGTCATCCCTACAGCCTGACGATGCGGGTGGAGCGTTTGATTTTCTGTCACAGGAACTGTAGCATGAGGATTTAAAAGTCTAAAGGGCTAACGGCTTAAACATGGCGGTTGCTTCTGGTCCCTGCAAGGCCTCCCTCCCATCTCAGCCTCCTCCGACTGGTAACCATTAGTGAAACACTGGCTCCGGCCCGGCTCCTGTAGCCCTTTGCTGCGCACCCATACCGATCGGGGTCCCACCACGCTAAGTGTAGAACATTTCCTGCAGATTTACAGTATTCTACGTCCACATCATTGTTTTTTCACGTCAATAAAAGCAGCAGGAGATGGGGGCACCGCCAGCCAAAGCCACGACATGGGTTTGCTGGCACGGCTCAGGCGATGGGGGAAGCCCACACATCCGATCCCAGAGAGCTGGAAAGACCTCCAGGCTCCTGGAGCAAACCATTTTCCTTACGAGAGGAAATGGGCTTATGAGAGGAAATGGGCTTAAGCTGCGCCAGGGGAGGTTTAGGTTGGAAATTAGGAAAAATTTCTTTACGGAAAGGGTGGTCAAGAATTGGAACAGGCTGCCCAGAGAGGTGGTGGAGTCACCATCCCTGGAAGTGTTCAAAAAACGGGTAGATGTGGCACTTTGGGACATGGTTTAGTCTAGTCTACCCTTGACTGGCTTAGAGTAGACTTGGTAGTGTAGGTTAATGGTTGGACTGGATGATCTTAAAGGTCTTTTCCAACCTAAACGATTCTATGATTCTATGATTTAACTTCAGACATGGTTGCTTGTGTTGCATTGCATCCCTGCTCTCGCAGTGCCATGGCCTTGGAGGAGGGGCAGACCCTGCACGCTGAGCCCCCCCTCAGCCCGCTCAAAAAGGTCATGCAGCTGGGAAGGTACAAAAGCCCCAAAGCAGGTATTTTATTTCATTTTTAATGAGTTGCATCGATGCTATTCAAGCAGAGCTGTCGCGGTGCATGGTGAACACATGCCGGGGCAGATGCAGTGCCAGCGGGCACTCGGCACGTATGGAAGCGGTGGGATGTCAGGCAGAGCCTGCCATCTCTTGGTGTTCAGGAAAAGCCTTGGGAGGAGAGAACAAGGGAGCAGACCCGTCTTTCTCTGTCTGCTTACGGGTACTCTCAGAGCTGACTCCTTGGGAGTGCGGGACCAGCTTCACTTGAGGCAGGTCACGTACAGACACTGGGGATGGAGCGACGCTCAATGTCTGAACGTTTTTAGACTTCTCAGACTTTAAATACAAAGGGCCAGATCCAATTTCTAGCGAGGAGGTCTGCTGACTTGGCAGTAACATACACCTACAGGCCTGCACCAGAAAACATGAAAGACCCCCAGTCTTCGTTCCCAGGCTGCAGGACCGACCCCCCAGGTCTGGGCGCTGCCGCTGGGAAGGCAGTGCCTGCGATGTAGCTCAGACACCATAGACTCCTAGCAGGCCCAGAAGCATCAAGACAAAAATGGGAAACAAACCTGTGGGCACATGACAAAAGGTTCTCCCCCGGGACTAATACTTGCACATCACATCTCATACCCTTTCCCATCCACATATTGGAGGACTCACAGCAACGTCAGAGCTTCACGTCTGCACTTCAGGGTTTCTTTTCTTCACCCATTAGCTTTGAATCAGTCAAAAGTTACTCTGCAAAAGTCAGAGCAAGATGAAAAAGCGGGGAGAGCGACAGAGGGAACAACAGCAAGGAGTAACTCAGGGCTGGCAAACTAGCGTTAGCAAAAGGATTATTACGCTTCTCTGTTACACAGAGAAATTCTAATGGATAATAAAGAAAGCAACAAAGTCTATCTCTGGTCTGGCGCTGTGTTACTGCGTGCCAGGAGTTACATCATCTCGGGAGGGCAGTTAAGTTGATCCGTGGGCATCATTTTCTCAGTGTCAATCTTGTAGGACTGGAGAATGCTCTTCAGGTGCTCCACGGTTTCTGGGTGCATCTCGGGAGCTCTTGATTTAATCCAGGCGTAGTCAACGTGGAAGAGCCAGAGGATGTTGGTGCAGGAGTAAACCAGTGAGTAGTTTTCGTAGTCGGTGGAGATGACCCAGTAAGGGGCAGAAGGCATGACTAGGAGAAAGAAGGGCACTGTGAACATCATGGGTAACTGACTCTGGACTGCTCTGCAGCACTGGAGCCATGGTTCCTGGTGCTGTTCCCACTTTTGCTGCTCCTGAGTGGCATGACTGTGGTCAGCACAAGGAGCTATAATTCATAAAAGCCTATCAGGACTCCTTGTTCTGCCCAGAGGGTCTTGAGAAGCCACAAAGCCCTGACTAGGAAGGACTTGCTGGAAAGTTAGCACTATGACCTGAGCAGCTTGGCCGGGCCGCTGAAAGCCAGCCCAGCTTGTACCCGTGTGAGGGTGCTTGCTGGCAGGAAGGAGCTGTAGAGCTGGGAGCTGACACCGGTGATCTGAGGAGCACGAGCCACCACCTCCCTCCCCACCACCCACTGCCCTGGGTGCCCTGTCCCACGGAGCCAGCTGGAGCCCAGGCTGTGGGAATCAGTATAGCTCGGCTCGGCTCAGCCCATCCCACCAGCACCAGCCCCCCGGGCCAAATTCTGTTCTCCGTCAGGCTGCTACACCCAAAGCATCTGCTCTGATGAGGGTCAGCCATTCCAGCTTCAAACCATCAGGCAGGCCTAAGCGCCCCGGGATTTATTTCTGATCCACTTAGGAGTGCCAGGCGCTGTTCTCTGGGGCTTGCATGCAGTGAGGATGGTTGGGGTTGCACACGCTGCAGGTGAAATGGCTGCCGGTGATGCCTTAGCACCGCATAATTAAGTCTGGCTGTGCTCATGAACAATAATTGTATATCCTTTGCAAGTACCCCTGCTCCACCCATTTCTCCAAATAACCGGTCTCTGTGAGTGCTATGAAACAGCCAAGGAAAAGGTGTGAGGGAGCAGAATAAAAAGGGAGCGAAGGGGAGACTTCTGCTCATTTTCCAAAGCGTTGCTGCAGACAGAGGAAAGCGCTGCGCAACATGAATAAAACGCGTGGCATCTCACCAGGGCCCTGTTGTGTGTTACATTGACAAGGGAAGAAAAAGCAAACAAAACCATATTATTAATGGTTATTAAAAGGCACTCGTAAGCAGAGGCAGGGTGGGGTAGTAGCTATACCGCTGTGTTCAGAAAAACAAGCCTATTCGTGGCCCTTGGAGCGGCTGTGGGGCTGCCTCCCCCACCTCCCACCCTCCCTGTCCCCATCTGTGAGAGGACCTGGAGGGATGGCAATACTGCTGATCTTTCTTGCTTTCAGATACACTGGTGAAGAGTGCTCCACCATTGCAGGGCCTGTTGCTGTAAATGATTTATAAATATCACCAAACCACTGCCTGCTGGTCACAACATTGGTCCTAACCCTTCGCCATTGCCCCCTCGTGCTGCACTGAAGTCATCAGGGGAGCTTTGCCTCTTGCTTTGCAAATTTTGTACCCCTGATGACACGGCAGTGATGCCTGCTTCGTGCAGGCGCTGCCCTCCCGCGATGCCTGCACCACAGCGCTGCTGAGGCCGGCGGGCACCGGGGAGCCAGCGCAGGCTGCGAGCCTCCCAGCCACACACTTACACCAGTTAAAGCGGACGCCAAGCTTGGCCGGCTCCTTTACATCCATGTGCATGATTTCTCCTTCAACTTCATTGACTTTGCCATTGGAACTAAGGGAAGAATGACAAGGTGAGAATTAAAATCAGGTGAGTTTGAAATAACTTTTTTTTTTTTCCTTCTACTAAATCATCCCTCCTGATGCATCTGCCTGCCAAGAGATGGCTGAAACATGTACCAGCTAATAACAGCATCCCCGGAGGGACAACTCGCCCTGGGGATGGTTCCAGCAGCACCCAGGGCACACCAGGTCCTGGGCCAGACGCAGCGGGGCAAATGCTGTCCCCGGTTAAACCACCCCAGCACCCCAGGGTGCCTCTCTCCAAGTGCCCCTGCCAGCGGGGTGTGCTTCAGTGCCACAGGGACGGTGATAGAGAAGACGGAGAGGAAGGCCCCTCCGCATGGGATGGGATGATCCCAGCACTGATCTCGGATGTGCCAGGGAGCAGCTCAACTCCTGCTATTTGTTGAAGGCACGTGTTCACACCTGTTTAATCACCTGTGATTTTTCCAGGTCACGGCACATTCCTCTGCATACAAATGACCTGTCCCTGCTTGGTGAGACAGGGTTTACTTTGCTGCTGGTTCAGAGCACTGCCCTGCTGGCAGCAAGCCCTATGACTCGGGCTGCCTGTCTTATAATTGCATTTTTCCCCAGATGCCTCAAGACCTGGATGCTGCCTGGGGGGCAGAAATGTTTCACGCTTCCCTGTGAAACAGCAACACCCAAGGAGGCAGAAGCTAATGCTGCCAGCAGCAGAGGTCGAGAGGCTGATGCTGGAGCCATGCACAGTGCACACCTGACCCAAAATATTTCCTGACTGAGTTGCTAAAGCGGTGACACCAACAGTCAGATTAATCCCCTGCAGATTAATGCAGGCGCAAATAAACGGTCAGCTGTTTGCCAGGCGCTGCCCTAGCAGTGGAGCTGCAGAGACAGTCCTGCACGGTCAGCGAGCGGCATGGACGCTGCTCTCTGTCAGACACAAGGGATGTGTTCCTGCGTTGTTGTTATTGTGAGCCAGAACAAAGTCCCCATGCCATGCCAGGAGCGCAGGGGACAGCGCTGCATTCACTGCTCGCTCCCTCTCATTCATTCAGCAGCACCCCATGGCAGCTGGGGCTGGTGATAGAAACAGATAAATTAATATCTGCATCTGCCCATGCAAAAAGCCAGAAGAGCTTGGGATAAAATTGCAAGTTATCAAGTATAATAAAGAGAACAATCAGTGCCTTCACTTTGCTTACTGATTTAAATGGGCAGCAATTGCGGATCCCCTTACACAGCAGTTACTACCAGTGCAAGGTCAATGCTCCAGAAAAAAGGCTGACAAATACTTGCTTAAGTAAAAATGACCCGTGTGTTTCACCTTCCCTGCCCCTTTTCATCCGGTCCCTTTACTCCAGAGCAGAGAGGAGCACAGGGCACAGGCACCTCTCAGCACGCAGGGGCACAAGGTGATGGCTGCCATCCCATAACCAGCTCCATAACCCCCCGGGGACAGGACCCAGGGCATCTGGCTTCTCAGCCATCACTGGGGATCACAAATCAGTCAGGGGGGAGACCCACGCTATTTCACCCTGCCATCACCGTGTGCATTTGATCTATTCTCTCACTACTCGCCTTGGACAACAAGAAGGAGACCTGCTTGAGCCCCAGGGAAGCACAGGCAGACACCAGAGACCCACATCTCTGCTGTAACCGCAGCAAAGCCCATTATCCTGGCAGAGTTACTGCAATCACAGGGTGCTGCCCCCAGCACCCCCAGACCCAGAAACAGGCAATTTGGAGAAAAATGACCACCTGGGACAGCAAGAGAGGTGACAGGAGTGCCACAGCTGCGGTGAGGACACAGCCCAAACACAAACACTTACAGCAGCTCCTTGTTGATCACCTTGAACTTCCCATTCTCCTTCAGTGAGTAGTTTGCCTGGATGCAGCTTCCTTTCTCAAAACTTGAGGGCAGCTTCTCTATCTCGTACCATTTCCCCAAATACTGATAAGAGAAAGTCCAGAGAGACGCTTTTAGCACAGGAGGGCTGAGGCAGAGCAGCCTGGCTTATTTGCCGGCACGGTTTCTCCTGCTCGGTTTGTTCGAGCATCCACCTCCGAGGCATGGGAGGCTGCGGGGGGTTAGCGGGGCCGCAGACCCACGCTGGTGGCTCTGGCATGAGGCATTGAGACCAGACTCGCCAACCCCGCCCTGCACCCAGGCAGTTTGCTGTTGCTCCTATGCCCCCTTAGCCTAATTCGCTACCTGCCATGAGATTTTTAGAAAGCTCTTCACACCTTGTTGATATCGAAGTCTTCTTGGACTGGTGGATCTGGGCATGGTCCCATGTGAAACATCTGGCCTTTCCCAAAGCCAAGGAGGCCAAGCAGGACTGAGAGCTGCACTACCGTGCTCAGCATGGCTGCGCCGGGATGCAGGCAGGAAATGGACCTGGGGAGGAGGAAAAAGCTGAGCTGGGGCCTCCCTGGAGCAGAACTTTGTGTGAAATACAGCAAGAAGGACAGGATGTCTGCAGCAGGGCACCTTGGGGGCACAGCAAAGAGAAAAGGATCATGAGAAGAGCACAAAGGCCCTATGACAATTAAGTCCCCAGCACAAAATGGCCTCAAGCCCTGCCTGTGCTCAGGCTGTGCCCAGCAGTTCTGCTGGAAGCAAGGCAATGCCTGGTGAGAGTACTTGTACCCATCACCCACACCTGACACCTGGCAAGATGCAGGGGTGATAAATGCCCGAGGACACACAGGAGCATCATCATCTGTCCAAAGCTGAGGCAAGGGGAAATGCAGAGATGTTTGATACAAAATGCTGGAGCACAAGGAACATGCTCCAGAGCTGGGGCAGATCTGGGGCCCTGGGACATGGAAGCGAGCAGCGTACACATGCAGGAGCCTGCGTGGCGAGAGGGACATCGCCACGTGTGCCAGGGCTGCCTGGCCCTGCAAGGCAGTGGGAGGGACAGAGCAGCTGCCTCTTGCGGGAGTCTTCATGTGCCAGGATGTACACAGCACTGCAGGGTGGGAAAGTTGGTTGAGCAACAAATAAATCATAGAATCATAGAATCGTTTAGGTTGGAAAAGACCTTTAAGATCATCCAGTCCAACCATTAACCTACACTACCAAGTCTACTCTAAGCCAGTCAAGGGTAGACTAGACTAAACCATGTCCCAAAGTGCCACATCTACCCGTTTTTTGAACACTTCCAGGGATGGTGACTCCACCACCTCTCTGGGCAGCCTGTTCCAATTCTTGACCACCCTTTCCGTAAAGAAATTTTTCCTAATTTCCAACCTAAACCTCCCCTGGCGCAGCTTAAGCCCATTTCCTCTCGTCCTATCACTAACTACTTGGGAGAAGAGACCAACAAGTAGTTATATAAATATGAACCGACCCCCAAAAACATGCTGCGAGGAGGGCAAGGACAGGTTTTCCTGCCTGAGGCGGGAGCTGTGCTGCTTATCCCCAAGCAGCCCCGGGAGCCAGGACGCTGCCCATGTGCTTTGGGCTCTGCTTGGGGCAGGTTGGCGTGTACAGACCCTGCAGCACAGGGCTGCTCTGCTTCCCTGGCCAGAAACTCCTCCACAGGAGCAGCGGTAGCATTTTCCCCAAGTTTAAAAGAAAAGCCCAGTCTGTCTCCAGCTGCAGGGCATGGACCCCACTGCAGACACAAACAGAGTTCCCATTTTGAATCTCTTAATTCAGAAACGTACCTTGGCTGACGATGCGGAGTGATGCTCTGTGGAGGACAGGGCTGCAAGGAACAGCTCTGTGGTGAGCTCTCCACCTCGTTGTTTTATAAGCGTGCTGGGATCATCATTATTCAGCACTAGCACAAGCCACTCCCTGGTCCTCGACGTGTTTTGTTTTTTTGGCAGACCAGTCAGCTGCCTTAGATCTGCAGCTGGTACGAAGCTGGAGATGGGCTGCAACTTGGCTGCTCACCCAGGCAAACAAAGGCACCCCACATGTCTGGGTATCGCTCTGCAGCTGCGGAGCTCTCTGCTCTTTGGCCGCCCTCAAGAGCCTCAGACCTAGGTGCAAATGGCAGGGGAAGGGGAGAAGTGCCGCAGCCTTTGCAAGGAGCTGGGGACAGCAGTGGCTTCTGTCCCCACCCCCTC